ATATATGACGGAGTTTACCACCCCATCTTTCACCTTTCTATGTTTTAATGTCGTAGAAGTTTCAGTAATTTATTTGGAAAAACTTTATAAATAAAATAAACATCTTCCCCAATTAATTCCCCCCCCCCAATTTAAACAAATTTGTTGGGAATTAATTGCTTACACATTTCTTTATTATTAGTGTTTAAAAAAAGGATTAATTTACTTGTGATTTGAAATTTTGTTTATATTTATAAATAATGTTTAGTTTCTGTTTATGTGATAAAACTACTACGCTCAAGTTTGTGAATTAAACGTTTAGTAATTGTCTGCCATCAATGGACAGTAATTAGTTTTGCATGTAGGCTTTTAAGACAAGAAACTGACCACAGTTTCTGTGTTGTAAAAGAGTGTGAAAGCAAGATATTTCAGAAGATGTTCACGTCTGAAACGTTCCACTGACCTACTACTTCCATTGCATTTCTTACCAAGACTTATTTGTTTCAATTAAAAAGGTCAAGGATGATTGCAGCTGAAATGATAATAAACATGATAGGTGCTAGGGCTCGACGATTATTAAAAGCAGTTGGTTATTGATGGTAGGAATATAAATCGATTATTTCGATAACTGGAATAATTGATTAATCGAAAAACTCGATTCGATGAAATAATCGATTCTTTAACTTATTCGTAATAGTCGATAAATTACATTGTTAATTTAGGAAATAATCACTTGAATATAATCAATTTTCTGACTGAAAGTAAACATTAAGCTCTTCTAGATATACAAAAACACAGGAATTTTATTCTTATTTAGATGTTGCATAACAAAACAGAAATAAACATTTTCATAAAAGTTTTACTCTTAACCAAATGTGCGTATTATTATGAACCTATTATTATATCCCTAATGAACAATTTGATTAACTGAATATTCTCTATTAATTTAAATATTCGATTTCCTTAATTAATCGATTGCTCCAATTGTCGATTATTCCTATTAATGGAATAATCGATTAAATTTCTATTAATCAAGTAATTTGCTCAACCTTAATAGCTAACTACATTTTAACAGCTATTGGGATAGTATCTTTAAGGAAATAATAAATCTTAATCTTTTAATATTAAACATTTTTGAAGTTTCTTTGTTTGCGTTTTATTGACAAAAAGTTTGTGTTACCTGCATTGATTTTAAATATATCGAATTTGTATTGTATTTCGTATTAACGAACACTTTAACTTTAATACTAACAATACGATACATATACAACACATGTGCATGTACCTATATCGATAAAGTTTCTCACACTTTCTTTTAAACATGCTTCTGTAGGCCTACGTTCACACACGCACGCCATGTCCTGTGCTTCCTTGCATACCAATATATATTTTTATTGTGGAATGATAATTTTTCATATTGTCAACGTTTGATTGTCTGCAAAACGTCGTTATACATATGGTACCACAAAAGTTCCTTCAACAGGCATAATTCGCCATTTCAACTACCTTTCTACACTACACAATATGGCGTACATTTAATCGAAAAAACAAATGACATCCTTTACGTATTATTTGATTTTTGTAGGTTGTATACTATTATAATATCTAAAAGAACTTTCTATCTCTTGTGCATAAAACTAAATGTTAATTTTTCTATTGTTTCAGACGTACTCCACGTGTGTCCTTGGATACGGATATGACGCAGGATCTGATCACGCTGCGTGCGGAAAGAACTTCCGGCAATCTCGAGCGTTTCAACCGCCATGCAATTTAGCGGAAGAGAACTACTGCACCCAAGCGGGTTCCAGGTATCCTTGGCATGCGGTGAAACGTTTTGTCAGGGAAAACCAGGGCCTCATGAGACGAATGTACGGAGACCAAAGACACTCGTCTGTCATTAAAGAGGAATTTGATCCGGACGAGTTCGACCTGGACCAGTTCAACGAAATCAATCACAGGTACAGGAGATTCAATAACGAACGTCCTGCAAAAGACGACACGTTCCAAGGACGTTTTATGCAAAACGATTTTGATTGGAACGAACTCTATTTCGTGGATGGCGACGAAGAAGAAGAAGACGAGGAGGAAGAGGAAACTCAAGGTCGAGCATTCTCTTCAGACGATGTTAGATCTGGAGAAATGCTCAACGCGAAGTTTGTCTATTCGGAAGAAGGTGAAATTGTGAAAGCCCAAGTGATGGAGATTAAAAATATACCGATGTTTCGAGAATCTAGCACAAGTTCGTCAGGTTCCACGGAAGCTTCGACAGTAGCAGTTAGCAAAACCAAAGCTTCATTATCATCATCAACGACACAAACAACGAAAGATGTGAAAGTAACAACCAATAAGGATGCAGTGAACGTGACAGAAAGTAATGATCAATTGCAGCTCGAAACAGAAGTGAAAATTACAAACGGAAGTTCTGCGCTTCCTGTCGAAAATAATAACAATACAAATGGTTTTGACACGTCCACTGAATCCCTAAATGCGACAAAAAAGCTGGCGCTCAAATTAGCTGATGATGATGAACAGAGCTCCATCAGTACCATTTCGCCAACTCCTTCAACTACCACAACAACTGGGGAAGTTCTTTTTCAAGATTTGGAAGAACATTCCACAAAGAGAGCGCCCCAGAGCAATCGAATTAATTATGAAAAACTAAAGGGAGTGTAAGTACTTATTTAATTTTTTAAATTAACTATATGAACAACAAACAACGACAAAAATGGTTTTTAAGACATTATCTCATTGTGTATCATTTTTCTTCAATCCAAAATTTTGTACTTTATTTGTTTAGATCATTTGAGTCACCTAAACTAACAAAAATCAATACCCTCTCAAATTTTTCGTGGAATTAAAAATATGTTAAAAAAATGTAAGATCCACAGAAAAATATTTGTAAAATCCTCTGAAACTGTCCTGAAATTGTGATGAAGAAAAGTTACTTTAGATTTGACATTTTTGTTTTCCTCAAATTTTTCGTTTTTTCAAACACAAATAATTTGCCCTTCACTTATTTTAAATAAATTATTTTTGTATTAGGAACGCATGTCCAGTAAAGGAGGAAGTTGTAGCCCCATTCTGGGCCAACAACACTCGAGGTGAAGTTTTAGCCCTATTGAACCTGTATCCCTTCGAACAGTATGTCCACTGGGAAAAGTGTACTTACGAACACAAACAAATGTACTGCAGGGAGGGTTGTAGATGTGAACAGCAGTATCGACTGCATAGACTTTTGGCCTACGACCCCAATAACGAATGCAGGGGAATTTTTTCGGACTGGTTTAAATTTCCGTCATGTTGTGTTTGCAAATGTTACAATATCCCAACGGATTTTCGGGTCACCTCACGGAGTCCCAGAAGAAAGACTAAAGATTTGGATATAGGCAAAGAATTACCAGAGTGGATTAAAAGCAGAGCAAAACTACAAGTTTGAAAACTGAAAGTTGGAGAGGATGAGGAACCTGTAAATATGTAAATATGAAAGATATTGTATTATATTTTTATGTTTTTTGTTNGAAGTTTGTAAAACGTAGGCAATAAACTTGACGGAATTTGAAGGCTAGCTTTCGGATTTGTTATTTCCGAATTTTATAATGTGATTGGCATTAAAAACACGCTCACCTTCAATGAAATTTCCTTTCCGAGGCTTTGTGTCAGTCCAATCGCATATTGTGTCAATACTTATCATTTTATCGTAATTTAAAGACTTGAAAATTGCACGGTACACTATAGGAACTACGATAAATTTTCCTTAATCGGCGCCATGTTTTTAGGCTCCTCCCATTTGACGGATCCCAATACTCGGATATAAAATTTCACTTCACTGTAGTTGAATTGATTTCTATGTTCACGTTATGACTGAAGTACCTGTACGAAATAAGGTCAAGTATTAGAAACATTGCTTCATCTACTACTCTACTAAAATAAACTTACCCTATGTTGATTTCAAAAGAAGTACTGATTCGGACGATACTGCATTTGTTCAGTTTCAGTCAGTCAGCGATCAAATAAGTTATTGTAATACTTCACCATGTGATACCACAAAAAAAGGTTTCGAAGAAAGATCTCTAATTCTAATTTCTATTGCCCAAGTTATTATACGAGGTTTACTTGCTAACGGTGTTGCTTTGAAAAATTCCAAAAAAATGAAACTAAAATCACCGCAAGTAAATGGCAAGTGGTTGGCGATTGTGTGTTATGTTTTTAAAATATGTTCACGTAGAGTGCGTAGGGCTATGCGCAGGTAATGAAAAAAATATGTTTTCCAGAATGTCAAAATTGACTTCTTTGAAAATATTGTCGTCAGTAAAATATTTTTATGTTTTTTGTTACCGCCACATTGTGTTTGTGGATGTGGTGATTTTTTTTTGTACAGCTCCAATAATAATTAAAAGAATGACAGTAATTATTGTATATAAATGTAAATGTTTTTTGTTGACTGATATTTTTTTATTAATGATTAGGTGTAAGTATGAGAATAAAGTATGGAAAGTTTATGATGAACTTATTAAATTTGCATTCTACTTTTTTTTAATTGATTGTATCAATATTTAATTACAAATTTTTACAGCTGCAACCACAAACATTTTTTATGTTTATACAAAAGAATAAAAATTTTTTATTTCTTTACCCTTGTTTTTCCTTACATGTATTCCCAATGTTTGTGTTATTTAACATTTCTTCACCATATAATCGCTTGTGAAAGTTTTTTCTTAAATTAAATAAAAGACTATAATGTTTTACACATTTTTCAAGCTTTCTTCTTTTCAGGATAGTTTTTAATATGTTGAACTTCATAGAAGATGGTGACGGAAATAGGATAATATATAAGGTAAATCATTTGTTTTCTAATGTAAGCCTTATTATTTTAATTTTTGAAGTGAAAACTTCTTTAGGCGCTATTTTTGCTAAGGAATGAACATAATTGAACCGTTATGTTATAAGCGTTAGGTTCGGGTCGGTTACGCTGAATCGGGTATACTCGGTCCTACCCAACATTAAACAAATTGGTGGCGCGCTAAATCGTTTATACTCGGCTCCAGTCGTTATTAATCGCGTTTTGCATGTAGTCAGTCAGTTCACAAATATAATTTTTTATTTTATAACTAGTATTACTTCACGGCTACAGAGATAAAAATAAATAATTTTGATATAACAATATCAGTATTATCTAACTGTTAATTCACCGAACTAATCCATTATATAACATTAATGTAACTATATACACATACTTTAAAATTGGAAAATGTTTTCACTTCTGTCGTGTAGTCGCACGAACCTTTTTTTTTTTGTTTTAAAGGAAGATAGTCTTTTTTGATCCACATTATATGTTAAAGCATATGTAGAATTAACAAAAAAAAGCCATTTGAAATGTATAAGTTAGTGCCATTTCAAATTTATGCGGCTAAATTTATTAAAGCAACCCCCCTGTAAATATTGATACTCCAAAAAAAAAAAAACAATTTGAATTCCATTTAAACCTCGTTTATTTCATCGAAGAAAATCAAAGCCATAGTAAAAGATAAAAATAACGAACAATCACAGAGTACATTATTAAAAATAAAAAACTAATAATAATCAATTAGTCAACATAAAAATTATCCTATACATATAACAGAGTTGGTAAACAGTATAACAAAATGTCTTCATATACATAGTTGACTCTCAAATATACACATTAGACATTTTCTTCTTACTTTGTTTTTAAATGTACATTTAACACAAATCATTTCATATTAGATCTTATAAGCTAATTAATAACTTACATACTTCAAATTAGACTTTCCCTTATTTCTTTTAATCTCCTATCTAGAAGTACAAATTCTATAAAAAAAAGTTGTCATAAAATATGCAGTTTTACTGACATGAATGAAATTGACACCTTCGGTTAACTAATGCAACCAATTAGTTTCTTATTAGTTATGTTTACATTAAATTAGCATTGATAACAACGAAAACTTTTTGATTAAACCTTTCACTGCTTTATTTGTTACTTATCAGGCAAAAGTTAGTTTTTGTTAAAAACAAACATTCAAAGAAAATGAAATCAGTAACATCAGTTGTCCTTTATAAAATTTAAAATCAAAAACAAACGTTTCCTAATTTTTTCATTTAAAAACAAAATTTATACTTGATTCAATATATTATCACTTCTTTGTTTGACCATGTGTTATAAATAATTTAAAATGTATTTTTTATGAGTAAAGACAATCAAAAACGTCACCATACAGCAATAAATAAATTATAAAAAAATATTTACACATAGATTCGTAAACCATAACGTTGTAACTCATATTTGGCTATTCTGACATTTTTAGTGTATTAATTAATAACTATATATTAATTCTACTAANTAAAACGTAAGCAGAAAATACTCAGATAAGTTATAAAACGGAAGCTGTTTCATTGAAAGCAAAAAAGCATTTAAAACTACAAAAAAGAATTAAAAGGTTTTAAAACTTTCATAACCAAAAAGTAGAGGCTGCACTAAGCACTTCGCAAAGCAAAAAAATTCCACCACCCTCACTTTATTACTTATTATTGTAGTGTAAACTTCTTCAAAAATTTCTGGGTATAAAAATTGGTCGAAAGGCAGTGTACTTGCAAAAATGCATTTAGAAAAATTTTTATTTTAATTTTAGGACGGTCGTTATGACTTTATTTATAGTAGATAATATTATTGTCTTCGATTCGTATTTACTCTATTCGGATAATTATTTTTTTTTTAAAATATCAGGGTAAGGAACTAGCTCAAACCTTTCAATACGAAAAACGGCACCCAGTCAATACCATGAATTACGTTGAACATTGAAGTATTTTTCAAATATTACTGAACTGGAATCCACTGACTTTTATTGTGTTCAGCATCGATTGCTGCCTTAACTTGTGTACAAATGTAGGCTATATTTACTCCAGCAGGAATGACAGCTGAAACATTACAAATTAATATAATAATTTTAAAAGCTTAGTTTATACCCAAACGCAAAAAAATAATTAATTCACCTGTTATTTGGTGTCTATATTCAGCTTCTAATTTCAAACCATGCTCGTACATTTCTTTAGCTGCCTTCCCAGACAACTTATCTAATGGGAACCGCGTATCCTTTACTTCTTTTATTTGCTTGGTACTTTTGAACTTGATAAGGAGCACAATAGGATAAATCTGGTGCCTGTGAAGCTTTTCAACTGAAGAAACCGAAATGTCCAACATGCAATGTAACCTCTGTAACAAAATAAGAACTTAAAAGTATAGAAACGAGAAAAAAATTGAACAATTACTTACTGAACTACAAACTGATCGTATTGAGGCAGCTGTAGTACATTCGTAGTAATTGCCCTTTCGCCTGTAATCAACGATAAGACTGTCTGCAAGTTCCTGGTCTAGAGTGGCTTGGGAACAGTGTCTGGCTTCGTGCTGCACTTTCTGAAACTTGTCGGGAAAATCGTTCACCAATTTATCAACAATGCACTCAGCTAAAGGGCCTAAAACTAAAACTGGACGAAATTCTGGATCTGAAATAAAGACAGGAATTATATTAAAGCATTGTTACGTACAACATCAACATTGTTAATAACTTACAATCAAGTCTTTCTACTCTTTGATAAGAACACAGAGAAAGATCTTCATGTAAAGTTCCATTGTCTGAGTACCACCCAGAAGACACATTACAAAAACTGGCCAGTTCTTTGGAATCTCTTGAACCACTCCTTTGATGCTTTTTGCGACGAAAGAAGCTTCTTCTTGCTGATGTAGAACCCCTACCCTCAAGATCACCAGTACTTCTTTTGAGCAGCAACTCTTCTTCGACCCTGACATACAAAAAAAAATGAAAACGATACTCAAATCTGTAATAGTTTATTACTCACTTGTATTTATTTGGGATGATACCACATTGTTGCTTCTGTCCTTCAGAATCGAGTTTCCATGCCCTCCAATGACCTGGGACCCCATTGAACATTGTATTGTCCACATAAAGAATGTCATCCTTATTGAAACAGAGCTGCAAATTATCAGATAACTCGCTGCCACTTCTATCAAAAAGACAACGGATGTAGAGACTGTCGCCAGGCTTATCTTTAATTTCGTTGTAACCTTAAATGAAGATAAAGACATAAGGAAGAAGTCTAAATAAAAATTAATTTTAAATACTTACGATCTACTCTATAGTGAGCTAAGACAGTAACTTTATCTGCAGTCTTGGCAAGTTCATAAGCGGCCTCCTCAGCAGTGGCATGTCTTAAGTCACTTCCGTTATATTCTAAGATTTGATCTCCGGTTCTAAGCCCCGCATGATAAGCAAGAGAGTCAGGCTGAACCGAGTGGATAAATATACCAACAGCATTGCCACCAACTAATGATATACCTAAGTTTGAAGTCTTCAACGTTTCGATGTACAGGTAACGAGGTTCTTCTTCATTCCTTTATCAAAAAAAATTGTATTAAAGAATATAACAACTTTAGGATGTGACATACCTATTATTACTGCTTTGTCTTTGGATTGTAGATGTGGCCTGTGATGTGCGATTGATGATTGTCTGATTTCCCAATGATGTTAACGGTAAGCTCATGGCATTGGAATGGGACTTTCTCACCCCTTTAGGGGAATTACAAGGTGTAGGTTCACCGTCACCTTCATCGTTAGAAGACGAGCCCGAACAAGAACCAGAATCTTGCAGTTCGTTATATTCTTAAATATAAGTGACAAAAAGTTGAAAAATTATTAATAACTCCCAATATTTCAACTTACTGTCGGGACTATATTGAACCAACATGGTAATAGAATTTCCACACTGTCTCAGAACGTTTGCAGCCAAATTATACGTGGCGTTTCTCATGTTGATCCCACAGACTTCCAGTAATTGATCGCCAATCTGCAATCCTACTCTACTAGCTAAACTGTTGTCGTTCACTGTTGATACGAAAATCCCACCACTTTCTGGGCAATTTATCTGTATCCCCAAGGGTTCATTAGATTTGTCAATATGTACTCTTCTAAGTTCCCCTGGCAGAGGTTTCTGAGGCCAACAATAATCAGGAACACTATTTCGCTTATCTCTATTTCCCGGACTTAAAACTTCTACTTGAAAAATCGGCATAGGACTTCCCCTCTCGCTAGTCCGTTCAATACTCCCCGTGCTCACTTTTCCAGCTGAATTTTTAGACGTGACACTAGGATTGGACGGTATTCGAAAACGTTGATTTTCTTTTTTACGTGGAAATGTACCCCCTTCAAATCCTTGACCGTAGTTGATCATATCTGAATCCCTATAAGGAACATGGGCGTGGCTAGGTAAACCATTGACATTTAGCATTTGCTTTTTTTGATAATGGTCTACAGAAGGGCTGTGGGTGTGGGTGAATGAAGGATAAGGGGGTTCGAAACCAACACTTTCACGTGAGTGACATGTGGGGAGAGTCAGAGGCGATGAGTTGAGATGTGGATGTGGGTGGGGATGAAAGGGGAATGCGATGCGAGGATTTGGAACAAACAATTGCGAATGAATTCGAGTATGAGGATTCGGGACACCGGTAACTGATATGTCGTGAGTTATTGAGTTATCACGATCAGAATCTGCAGTGTATTTTATTGGACCTGAAAAAAAAAAAAAATTGAGCCATCGCGGGATGCCTGACTGATTTGAAACATCCAAAAGCAATAAATGTGGCAAAAACAAAATATTAAGATTTTTTTTAAAGAAAAAAATTATTCTTTATTTAAAAAATATATTAATTTAATACCAAAATTAAAATAAAACAGGCAACGTATATGAAATACTATGGATGCTATACACAGTATAGTATCCATATTGCATACGCTATAGGTATACGAGCTCAGTGTGGTGGGAGAGAAAAAGGGAAGGGGAATCGCCGAACTAAGTAGAGTTAGCGCGTGGCGACGTCACCACACCAACAGCCGGTTTGAACCGCCACAAAAGATGTTTAACATCAAAAACATTTTCCTATTTCTTATGAAGTTAAATTTATTAGTAAATGCTATTTACCTGTTTTATTCTTTTTGTAATAGTTGAGAAAGTCCTTTTCGCTGATCAACATCGGTTTATTAACGGGAAAATCGAGACTGTTGTCCGAATTAATACTCAGTCTATTATTGACTTCACGTGACGCGTCGAAATCGGACATTTTATTTGACCTGAGCTTCTCAAATGAGTCATTAACAGTGCTAAACGTAGCCTTCGGGAAGGGTACCATACTATTATCTACACTTTTAAAAACGCTATGTCTGTTTAAGTTCTGGGCTAGGCTAAGCGGTATAGGAGTTGAATTACGATTTGAAGTCCTTTCGTTTTTACAACAGTAATTATTCTGCTGTTCTGATCGGTCAGTTAGTAGGAGACTCAGGGGTGGCCGTTCTTTTTTACGAGCCACTATAGTGCCAGTGGTGTTTTGAAGTACGTTAGTAGCCCGCGCTTTAGGCCATGTACCGCCATTTTTCTCTTGCACCGACATCTCCTTACCTCTTCTTTTATTTCGTTTCATGGTATTTGTATTCTCGCCATGATAACTATCTATTACCAAATCTAACTCAGCTATTGCCTGAAATTAGATAAAAAGTTATAAATTAAAAAAATACAAAAATATTACAAAATTCTCACCTGTTCTTGCTCAAAAGTGTTGCTACTTAAATCGAGTGTATTCGGTGAACTATTTCGATACTTCTTTTTGTCATCGTTCCTGTTTCTATCCTTTGAATGTCTTCTTCCACGAACCATGTCCAATTTTTCTCTGAACCACGCCCCACTGTTCTTCTCCTGGACATTACTTTTGTTATTCAGTCGATAATCACCACTCAAATATTGTCGATCGTAATCGTGGCGAACCAAATCATGGTCGTCTGTTTGAGAGCTCCTGTTTTCTTTTTTGTAGCGTTGAGCAGGCATAAACACGTTTGTGGTACATTCAGGGTCCAAATAACTCGTCTTCAGAGTCGTAATCGTAATTATATCTGTGCGGTCATCGTTCAAAATTGACATAGCCTCGTGGATGCTCTCGAAACCGTCCATAGATTTGTTATTTATCTGAAACACAAAAAAAAATGCTGATACGAGGGAAATTGTGAATCCTAGAAAACTAGAAAGCATCCTATTAATATAGTAAAAAAACTTACGCTCAAAACCCTATCACCAACAACAAGACTATTATCTTTGGCTGCCAAACTGCCCTCGCTTATCTTCCCAATGTACACCCCCGATTCTAGGGATAGACCGTGACAACCAGCGGCTAGTCTTGCAGTATAGATCCAACGAGCAACTCGCGAGTTATTCTGAAAACTAGGGGGTATACGGACAACGTTCTGAGATCCTCGGGAATTTTGTGAAGACGACCATGTTTGAGATCGGCGCCTGCGTACAACCAAATGCGCCACGGGTAAACTTGAGCGCAACGTTTCAATCACCATCCTTTTCGATACCGAGGTGCAATCAAGATTGTTCACTCGAGAAATGCAATCGTTTACTCTAGAAAACAACATAGAATTAAGTTAGACTACTCTTGGAAAAATGAAATTAAAAATAACAAGACTTACCTCAACTTTCCATCGGCCATGGAACCTTTTGAGACTGAGGCCACATAAATACCACTGTCATTGGGATAATGAGGGTCATCTCGACCGCCAACCAACTCGAATCCTAGGTCACCATCACTGGGAAGTCCAGACAAGTCCATTTCCAATATCTCTGTTTCCCATTCCTGTACAGAAAAAGCCATCTATATTTTCCAAAATACAATTTCCTTTGTGCTTTATATTTAAATTACCTGCATATCACTGTCAATAGCGCTGTCATGGGAATGATTATGTCCCATACCACGAAATTGATTAAACTGTGCCTCTTTCTCCATGTGTATTTCCAGGGCTTCTTTCAACATTTTAACTTCTTTCATCAGTTCATTTCTTTGTTTTTTAATAGCATCAGACTCCCTAAGAGCTTCTGCAAGTTCAGATACAGCTCTGTCTCTTTCCTTACGCATGTTATCACACAATGTGCGAATACTTTCTCGTTCTAAAACTATCTTGTCTCTTTCAGAAAATGCCCAATCACGTCGACCTTAAATAATTAAAAACAAAATAAAAAATGTATTACAACTACATCGTTAAAGAAATCATGAAAGTATTTCTTTTGTCAGTTAAATAATATTTACCTTTTGATACCTCAGCTTCCTGAATGGCCTCAGACAGTTCTGTCTGAGCCTTGTCCAAACTTTTTCTTAAACTCTCAAGTTCCTGATTTGCCTGATCTAAGTTGTCTAACCTTTGTCTCTGACTTAGGCTACGAGAATCGACTTGGACTTCTTTTCTAGCTGCATTATCACCTAGGAAGCTAAGATTATCTAACCTACTCTTCATCATGTCCCGGCTATCCTCCTTGGAAGCACTATATTCTCCAAATTTCTCCCTTAAATCGTTACATTCTTTTAGAGCCTTATCACGGTCATGCAAAGCACTGGCAATTTCTCGTCTCAAAGTTTCCATTTGATAGTTTAACTGTTTTTTCTCTTCCATAAGTTCTTTGTTATCTGCCTCTAATAGTTTATTTTTTTTACAGGCCTGTGTCAGATCGTCACTTAATTTCTCCATCTCTTTATGGACTGTATCTCTGCAAAACAAAAAATGGGTAGGTAAGCGATAAAAGGGCAAAATTTCAACACAAACATTCATAGCATAGAAATTGCTTATTTAAAAAATCACCTTTCACTCATTATGAGATTATATTCAGTCATAGCTGCATTTCGTTCATCTGTGAGTCTTTTGACTTCTTTACTAGCTTTCATACGGAACGCCATAGCTTGATTGACCTCTTTAACAGCTTCTTCATACTGCTGCTGAACTTTCTGGAATGCTTCTCTAAATTTGATACAATCTCTTGCAGCTTTGTCATATTTTTGATGAGCCACTGCTATCTGCTGGCGTAAATTAACAATGTCTCTCATCTAAAATAAAAATGAATAAATTATTTAGCTTTACTTAAAAAAACATTTATGAGAATATTAAAAAGTAAATATAAATGCTATTAATATATTATATATGAAAAGCAACAACATTATAGAGAACACATTAACTTACAACATTGTTTCTTTCTTGATTAAGTTCATCACACTGCTTATTAAGTCTATTAGTTTCATCTTGTGCCAATTCTAATTTTGTAATTGCTTGACTGTGTGATGCCAGAAGCTCATCATACCTTTTCCTAAGAGTATCACAATCATCTCTCACAACACTGTCGTTTCTTCTGGAGAGCATATACAGGGATTCTGTATTACCATTTTCTGACACCAACACCTGTAGCCAAAGGGAAATAAATTTAAATGTATAAACTTTTTCATTTAAGATAAATTATACCTCTTGCTGTCTGTGTAATTCTGACAATTCAGTCCTCAATGACTGAACATCTTGTTCCAATCTTTGATTTTCACTCAGCACATCTCCATACTTTGTGCGTAAAGTTGCAGAGTCTTGAGAGGATACTTCTAGTTGGTTCATGGCTGCTCTGTGTTGGCTTCTATAGTAGTCCAGTTCCTTGAAAATTATTGTGGGAATGTAAATACACTAACATCCAAGAGAGTAATTAGAAATATTAATTCATGCATATTTACTAAAGTATGGAAAATGTTACAACATAAAAACAATAAATTTATGAAGTACAGAGGATAATTTATTAATATTACTATTATTACAATAACCCTTAAGAGAAAAGGTTAAAAGCACATATAACTATTGCGTACTTACTTTCATTGCATGATCGCATCTCCTTCTTAAGTTTGCCAATTCATTATTTGCTTTATCGTATTGTTGCTTTAGGTTTTCATAATCACGAGAAGAACTTGAATTTATCGAATAATTTCGAGATAGTGCACCTAGGAATAAAATTGTGTAATAATAAATTATTGTGAAAATCTGCTAACATTTACCACTACTGCCACTGCCATCAGTGCTAGACGCCATTTCTTCGCTAAAAAGTGAAAACAAAAAATAGGGAAGGTTACAATAGAAAGTTTTATTGTTACTTCCTGAAATACTTTTTTAAATTGTTCCACACTACTAACTGCACATAAACTGACGGAACTTTCGTAATAGTCGAGAAACGTCCGTTCGTGTTGTAAAATCTTTAACGGATCTAATGGAAATTTCACGGTACTTTTTGCAAAAAAACATGCTATTTGATAAACGCTATGAAATGGGAGCAAACGGATACTGTTAATTTCAATTCACATATTGCCTTTTACTTATGGATACCACTTAGGGCGAAGAATCGCGTTTAATTTCTAAGCAATAACTTCAAAATTAACTTACTCATTTAATGTTTAAAACTTGTATTACTATTTCCAATAACATTATTTATTACTGATATGAAAGTAAATATTTTTATGAAGAAAAATGAAAACTATCATAATTTCCAAAGGCTGAAAGAAAGTACATAAATAATACTGTAGTTGTCACAGACTGTTGTCAGATCACAGCGACAGCAGGTACGCCATAGATAATATATACCAAGCATCCGAATTCTTATTAGACATAATTTTGACACTATTCTTATTAAAGACAAATATCAATTATAAAAATCTAAATATTTAATTTAGAATTAACATGACCTTATATGCCGCAGTCGACCATTATACTTGTTTCATTATTGTCATATTGTTGCTGCTGTCGGCCATTATACTTCATTCATTGTTGTAATTGTCGGCCATCATTCTTTTTTAATTATTGTCACATTGTTGCTGATGTCGGCCATTACATTTAATTCATTGTTGTAGTAGTCGGCCATCATTCTTTTTTAATTGTTGACATATTGTTGCTCTTGTCGGCCATCATGCTTTTTTTAAAGCGCGCAAAAATTTAAATTTTGGTTTATAATTAACTAAAATACGTGTCACTTTCTAGAACGGTAAATCTTCGCCGTTTGATATTGAACTTTAAAAGACATGTTCATAATAGTTAATACTAATAGTTTTTTGATTAATTAAAAGTTTTGTAACGCTAAAAAATAATAAGCACCCAGTGGCGGATCTTAGACATTGGGACTTTTTTTAAGAGAAAAAAATAATAATAAGACTCAAAGTCGAAAGTCCAAATTTAAAAATCAGTCAAAAAGGAGTCGAAACTATAAGTCATTTTCTTTGATTTTACAAAAACACATTTTCATTCAGACACTGCATGTCACCTTACGAGACCCTGTAATTATTTATAATAAATACAATTGCATAATCAATTGAAAGTCTAGATCACCTATTATTAATGTCTGTAAAAGTAGTCATTTTGAAGATTAAACCGTACAGGCAAAAAAAATTTTAAGGGTCATTCCTGCCTTAAGACGATTTAAATAATTATATGGAAAAAGACAGTTGTTTCGATATTAATTACAAAAAGACGGTTCAAATTTATTTATATCTAAAGATTGAGAGAAAATGAAATTTAAATGCACCTGGATTTTTCCATATTGATGAAAATTGCGCATAATTTAATCTTCAATCTTTGTCAAAAAACCTTTTAATAAAACCACATAATGTTTTAAATTTTTTTTAATCGACCCGGTATACCTATCTTTTTTTGCTTTAAATTACAGAAAAAAATTAAACAAATGTTAATTTAAAAATCGTCACATATCTGATAAAGCCGTCCTTTTTCAAGAGCAGTGTGTTTTCGTAATCCGCAGGCATTTCATCGGTTTTCGAAATTATCACATATCATAATTAACGTGATTTGTCAGGATTAAGTAGTTATAAGTGGAAATTATCAAAATTAGTAAAAATATAATTCAGTCAATTAAAATGAATCGCGATTTTGTGTTTTCCGTTTTGTAAAGCTGTTAATATTGGCGTTTAGATGACAATAAAACAAAAAGGGTGCGGCAGTGTTTTTGGTTTATAGGATTTTATAATGATCTATCGATTTTTGAAAATGAAGAAGGAATTTTTAAAGGTCAGTACTATATTTTCAATATTTTAATAGGTATTTAATTAGTTGGTATATGTAGAAATGTAGTGGGTAAATCATGGTCTCATACATATGTATATATTCCGTATGGAAATTTCCATATGAAGGAAATTTTCAAGTTTCTTTATAGTATTTTTTAATTTTTATTACAATCAATAAATTCGTCCTTTGCTTTTAATTCATTTTTATTTTGTGCTTATTTATAATTTGAAATACTTTGAAAATTGAAAGAATCAACAGTAAAATAAAATCTAATCTATCCACACATTCAAGTTAAAATTGGGTTTCCTTACACTAAAACTGTATTTTGATTTAAAATTTGGTATATTGGTCGTTTATTTTGTACTTACTAGTTAAATGTTAATATTAACGTTTTTAATCAATCTAAGAAAAATTTGTTCTACAAATCTCTTTTAAAGTGTCGTTAGGATCTGTGCATGCAGTATTTTTTATATTGGAATAATTTCGATGATTACAAAAATCTTTTAATGTTGCCTCTCACAGCTATTGTATGCGAAATTGAGGTATAAGTAGCGGCTTTTCGTATGTATGTAAATAGGAATTCGGCAGTTGATGTAAGGTTGTTTTCTCCTTGGTGGGCAAGAGGGCGCCTAACTGACCCATTATAGGGAGAAAGGGACCTGAAAGGCTGCTGGCGGTGCGCTCGTATTCCTAAAACATCCGGCATTGTTGTGTTCTTGTTTCAACGATTCATCGTGCGTTGATCAGCTCTCAGTTTCGTGTAAACGGGGTTGAGAGCGGGTCAACAACGACGTTTCGTTGAAATGAGGGCATGGTGATGAGGGCTGTTTTGCTTTTTGTCATAAATATTTTTTTAATATTAACGTTTTATGGTTTAAAATCAAAACCAATTTTTTATTTAAATTCAACAATTAAGCAATTTTGTATGCAATTTTTACAAAGAACGAAAAAATTTTTGCGTAGGTACTTGTAAAATAAAGTAAATACTAATATAATGATAATCCAAATTCAAGTGAAAACCTCTTGTGCAGGAATTTTAATAATAATATTTTTTTTATAAAAAGGCTCATCTGTTTGGTGGTAATCAATTCCAAGTTTCAAATAAATATAAAAGTCGTAAAAGAGATATATGTAGCCGTTTTTCGTACCCCATGTACCATCGTTTTCTACCTCATCATTTATCTTCTTCGATTTTCCTTGTTTTCATGGCTTTTTCTACTTCATCGTCTCAACCTTTCACAGGTCTTCATTTTTTTCTTTGTAGTTTTATTGGGATCTAGTCCCATACCCTTGTGTTTGCATTCTCCTCAAACAATCTATTCTTTTCTATGTCGTCTATGATAATTCGTTTCATGTTAATTCTTCTTCGAATTTCTTTATTTTTCAAACTTAGACACCCTTTAGCTTCCACATTGCAAGTACCCACATGTTCAGCCATTTCCCTTTGTCCAAGTCGTATTCCAATATTTCCGTTTTAATGCTTGAAATGTAGACCAAGAGAAGACTATGTTTTACTCGTTTTAACATAAATAGCAATTAAATATTAGTTTTTAAAATTATCTTTGTATAAATTAAGCCTATTTAAACCTATTTCACAAAGGGAAATCGTTAGTTTAATTATTTTGTAATATATGGGGAACAATTTCTGAGATTAACAAACCATAGTTGAAAGCTCCACCATTGTTTCAAAGCTATTCCATTATCAAGGTGGTTGGTCTCCATCGTTTACATTTTTTAAACATAATAAAGCTCTTTTTGATGTAAAGGATAGTTTTAACTCTTGTTCGGGCGTAAATCTCTGTCTTTCATTTTCCGAATACTTTCTCTCTTTAACAGTCGTATACTTGAACGACCGATCTCCAGAGCAAGGCATTTTGGTCGTTTTAATATATTAAAAAGAAATTAAATGTTTGTTTTCAAAACTAATGCCTTATTTGTATTCAAATTAAACATTTTTAAACTTGTATTAGGAAGAGAATGTATTGGTTTGTCTATTCTGTACTATGTATGAACTAATTTTGGAAATTAACGAACCAAAGCCAAAAGCTCTTTNAACGATGGTAAGTTGAAACACAGAATTATTTTGAGATGTAAAACTTAGAAATATCATGTAGGAATACTGGAAGTTCTAATAGGACTTTGAATGTATTAAAATGTGCCCTTTTCAGGGGTGTAAACTATTTTTGAACTAAATAATAAATAAGGGAACTACAGATCTACAAACAGTAGCATTTACTTTTGTTAGATTAAAAGAACTTGGGCCAACATTAAAAATACAAAATTAAATAAATATAATACAATTCAGTGTTCTTTCTGGACCTTTTCAGAAGTCAAGGAGTTCAGGATTATCTACATCACGACGATGGAGCAGTCCCTCACATTTCAGGAAAAGGACTCATCAATAACGATGGTAAGTTGAAACACAGAATTATTTTGAGATGTAAAACTTAGAAATATCATGTAGGAATACTGGAAGTTCTAATAGGACTTTGAATGTATTAAAATGTGCCCTTTTCAGGGGTGTAAACTATTTTTGAACTAAATAATAAATAAGGGAACTACAGATCTACAAACAGTAGCATTTACTTTTGTTAGATTAAAAGAACTTGGGCCAACATTAAAAATACAAAATTAAATAAATATAATACAATTCAGTGTTCTTTCTGGACCTTTTCAGAAGTCAAGGAGTTCAGGATTATCTACATCACGACGATGGAGCAGTCCCTCACATTTCAGGAAAAGGACTCATCAATAACGATGGTAAGTTGAAACACAGAATTATTTTGAGATGTAAAACTTAGAAATATCATGTAGGAATACTGGAAGTTCTAATAGGACTTTGAATGTATTAAAATGTGCCCTTTTCAGGGGTGTAAACTATTTTTGAACTAAATAATAAATAAGGGAACTACAGATCTACAAACAGTAGCATTTACTTTTGTTAGATTAAAAGAACTTGGGCCAACATTAAAAATACAAAATTAAATAAATATAATACAATTCAGTGTTCTTTCTGGACCTTTTCAGAAGTCAAGGAGTTCAGGATTATCTACATCACGACGATGGAGCAGTCCCTCACATTTCAGGAAAAGGACTCATCAATAACGATGGTAAGTTGAAACACAGAATTATTTTGAGATGTAAAACTTAGAAATATCATGTAGGAATACTGGAAGTTCTAATAGGACTTTGAATGTATTAAAATGTGCCCTTTTCAGGGGTGTAAACTATTTTTGAACTAAATAATAAATAAGGGAACTACAGATCTACAAACAGTAGCATTTACTTTTGTTAGATTAAAAGAACTTGGGCCAACATTAAAAATACAAAATTAAATAAATATAATACAATTCAGTGTTCTTTCTGGACCTTTTCAGAAGTCAAGGAGTTCAGGATTATCTACATCACGACGATGGAGCAGTCCCTCACATTTCAGGAAAAGGACTCATCAATAACGATGGTAAGTTGAAACACAGAATTATTTTGAGATGTAAAACTTAGAAATATCATGTAGGAATACTGGAAGTTCTAATAGGACTTTGAATGTATTAAAATGTGCCCTTTTCAGGGGTGTAAACTATTTTTGAACTAAATAATAAATAAGGGAACTACAGATCTACAAACAGTAGCATTTACTTTTGTTAGATTAAAAGAACTTGGGCCAACATTAAAAATACAAAATTAAATAAATATAATACAATTCAGTGTTCTTTCTGGACCTTTTCAGAAGTCAAGGAGTTCAGGATTATCTACATCACGACGATGGAGCAGTCCCTCACATTTCAGGAAAAGGACTCATCAATAACGATGGTAAGTTGAAACACAGAATTATTTTGAGATGTAAAACTTAGAAATATCATGTAGGAATACTGGAAGTTCTAATAGGACTTTGAATGTATTAAAATGTGCCCTTTTCAGGGGTGTAAACTATTTTTGAACTAAATAATAAATAAGGGAACTACAGATCTACAAACAGTAGCATTTACTTTTGTTAGATTAAAAGAACTTGGGCCAACATTAAAAATACAAAATTAAATAAATATAATACAATTCAGTGTTCTTTCTGGACCTTTTCAGAAGTCAAGGAGTTCAGGATTATCTACATCACGACGATGGAGCAGTCCCTCACATTTCAGGAAAAGGACTCATCAATAACGATGGTAAGTTGAAACACAGAATTATTTTGAGATGTAAAACTTAGAAATATCATGTAGGAATACTGGAAGTTCTAATAGGACTTTGAATGTATTAAAATGTGCCCTTTTCAGGGGTGTAAACTATTTTTGAACTAAATAATAAATAAGGGAACTACAGATCTACAAACAGTAGCATTTACTTTTGTTAGATTAAAAGAACTTGGGCCAACATTAAAAATACAAAATTAAATAAATATAATACAATTCAGTGTTCTTTCTGGACCTTTTCAGAAGTCAAGGAGTTCAGGATTATCTACATCACGACGATGGAGCAGTCCCTCACATTTCAGGAAAAGGACTCATCAATAACGATGGTAAGTTGAAACACAGAATTATTTTGAGATGTAAAACTTAGAAATATCATGTAGGAATACTGGAAGTTCTAATAGGACTTTGAATGTATTAAAATGTGCCCTTTTCAGGGGTGTAAACTATTTTTGAACTAAATAATAAATAAGGGAACTACAGATCTACAAACAGTAGCATTTACTTTTGTTAGATTAAAAGAACTTGGGCCAACATTAAAAATACAAAATTAAATAAATATAATACAATTCAGTGTTCTTTCTGGACCTTTTCAGAAGTCAAGGAGTTCAGGATTATCTACATCACGACGATGGAGCAGTCCCTCACATTTCAGGAAAAGGACTCATCAATAACGATGGTAAGTTGAAACACAGAATTATTTTGAGATGTAAAACTTAGAAATATCATGTAGGAATACTGGAAGTTCTAATAGGACTTTGAATGTATTAAAATGTGCCCTTTTCAGGGGTGTAAACTATTTTTGAACTAAATAATAAATAAGGGAACTACAGATCTACAAACAGTAGCATTTACTTTTGTTAGATTAAAAGAACTTGGGCCAACATTAAAAATACAAAATTAAATAAATATAATACAATTCAGTGTTCTTTCTGGACCTTTTCAGAAGTCAAGGAGTTCAGGATTATCTACATCACGACGATGGAGCAGTCCCTCACATTTCAGGAAAAGGACTCATCAATAACGATGGTAAGTTGAAACACAGAATTATTTTGAGATGTAAAACTTAGAAATATCATGTAGGAATACTGGAAGTTCTAATAGGACTTTGAATGTATTAAAATGTGCCCTTTTCAGGGGTGTAAACTATTTTTGAACTAAATAATAAATAAGGGAACTACAGATCTACAAACAGTAGCATTTACTTTTGTTAGATTAAAAGAACTTGGGCCAACATTAAAAATACAAAATTAAATAAATATAATACAATTCAGTGTTCTTTCTGGACCTTTTCAGAAGTCAAGGAGTTCAGGATTATCTACATCACGACGATGGAGCAGTCCCTCACATTTCAGGAAAAGGACTCATCAATAACGATGGTAAGTTGAAACACAGAATTATTTTGAGATGTAAAACTTAGAAATATCATGTAGGAATACTGGAAGTTCTAATAGGACTTTGAATGTATTAAAATGTGCCCTTTTCAGGGGTGTAAACTATTTTTGAACTAAATAATAAATAAGGGAACTACAGATCTACAAACAGTAGCATTTACTTTTGTTAGATTAAAAGAACTTGGGCCAACATTAAAAATACAAAATTAAATAAATATAATACAATTCAGTGTTCTTTCTGGACCTTTTCAGAAGTCAAGGAGTTCAGGATTATCTACATCACGACGATGGAGCAGTCCCTCACATTTCAGGAAAAGGACTCATCAATAACGATGGTAAGTTGAAACACAGAATTATTTTGAGATGTAAAACTTAGAAATATCATGTAGGAATACTGGAAGTTCTAATAGGACTTTGAATGTATTAAAATGTGCCCTTTTCAGGGGTGTAAACTATTTTTGAACTAAATAATAAATAAGGGAACTACAGATCTACAAACAGTAGCATTTACTTTTGTTAGATTAAAAGAACTTGGGCCAACATTAAAAATACAAAATTAAATAAATATAATACAATTCAGTGTTCTTTCTGGACCTTTTCAGAAGTCAAGGAGTTCAGGATTATCTACATCACGACGATGGAGCAGTCCCTCACATTTCAGGAAAAGGACTCATCAATAACGATGGTAAGTTGAAACACAGAATTATTTTGAGATGTAAAACTTAGAAATATCATGTAGGAATACTGGAAGTTCTAATAGGACTTTGAATGTATTAAAATGTGCCCTTTTCAGGGGTGTAAACTATTTTTGAACTAAATAATAAATAAGGGAACTACAGATCTACAAACAGTAGCATTTACTTTTGTTAGATTAAAAGAACTTGGGCCAACATTAAAAATACAAAATTAAATAAATATAATACAATTCAGTGTTCTTTCTGGACCTTTTCAGAAGTCAAGGAGTTCAGGATTATCTACATCACGACGATGGAGCAGTCCCTCACATTTCAGGAAAAGGACTCATCAATAACGATGGTAAGTTGAAACACAGAATTATTTTGAGATGTAAAACTTAGAAATATCATGTAGGAATACTGGAAGTTCTAATAGGACTTTGAATGTATTAAAATGTGCCCTTTTCAGGGGTGTAAACTATTTTTGAACTAAATAATAAATAAGGGAACTACAGATCTACAAACAGTAGCATTTACTTTTGTTAGATTAAAAGAACTTGGGCCAACATTAAAAATACAAAATTAAATAAATATAATACAATTCAGTGTTCTTTCTGGACCTTTTCAGAAGTCAAGGAGTTCAGGATTATCTACATCACGACGATGGAGCAGTCCCTCACATTTCAGGAAAAGGACTCATCAATAACGATGGTAAGTTGAAACACAGAATTATTTTGAGATGTAAAACTTAGAAATATCATGTAGGAATACTGGAAGTTCTAATAGGACTTTGAATGTATTAAAATGTGCCCTTTTCAGGGGTGTAAACTATTTTTGAACTAAATAATAAATAAGGGAACTACAGATCTACAAACAGTAGCATTTACTTTTGTTAGATTAAAAGAACTTGGGCCAACATTAAAAATACAAAATTAAATAAATATAATACAATTCAGTGTTCTTTCTGGACCTTTTCAGAAGTCAAGGAGTTCAGGATTATCTACATCACGACGATGGAGCAGTCCCTCACATTTCAGGAAAAGGACTCATCAATAACGATGGTAAGTTGAAACACAGAATTATTTTGAGATGTAAAACTTAGAAATATCATGTAGGAATACTGGAAGTTCTAATAGGACTTTGAATGTATTAAAATGTGCCCTTTTCAGGGGTGTAAACTATTTTTGAACTAAATAATAAATAAGGGAACTACAGATCTACAAACAGTAGCATTTACTTTTGTTAGATTAAAAGAACTTGGGCCAACATTAAAAATACAAAATTAAATAAATATAATACAATTCAGTGTTCTTTCTGGACCTTTTCAGAAGTCAAGGAGTTCAGGATTATCTACATCACGACGATGGAGCAGTCCCTCACATTTCAGGAAAAGGACTCATCAATAACGATGGTAAGTTGAAACACAGAATTATTTTGAGATGTAAAACTTAGAAATATCATGTAGGAATACTGGAAGTTCTAATAGGACTTTGAATGTATTAAAATGTGCCCTTTTCAGGGGTGTAAACTATTTTTGAACTAAATAATAAATAAGGGAACTACAGATCTACAAACAGTAGCATTTACTTTTGTTAGATTAAAAGAACTTGGGCCAACATTAAAAATACAAAATTAAATAAATATAATACAATTCAGTGTTCTTTCTGGACCTTTTCAGAAGTCAAGGAGTTCAGGATTATCTACATCACGACGATGGAGCAGTCCCTCACATTTCAGGAAAAGGACTCATCAATAACGATGGTAAGTTGAAACACAGAATTATTTTGAGATGTAAAACTTAGAAATATCATGTAGGAATACTGGAAGTTCTAATAGGACTTTGAATGTATTAAAATGTGCCCTTTTCAGGGGTGTAAACTATTTTTGAACTAAATAATAAATAAGGGAACTACAGATCTACAAACAGTAGCATTTACTTTTGTTAGATTAAAAGAACTTGGGCCAACATTAAAAATACAAAATTAAATAAATATAATACAATTCAGTGTTCTTTCTGGACCTTTTCAGAAGTCAAGGAGTTCAGGATTATCTACATCACGACGATGGAGCAGTCCCTCACATTTCAGGAAAAGGACTCATCAATAACGATGGTAAGTTGAAACACAGAATTATTTTGAGATGTAAAACTTAGAAATATCATGTAGGAATACTGGAAGTTCTAATAGGACTTTGAATGTATTAAAATGTGCCCTTTTCAGGGGTGTAAACTATTTTTGAACTAAATAATAAATAAGGGAACTACAGATCTACAAACAGTAGCATTTACTTTTGTTAGATTAAAAGAACTTGGGCCAACATTAAAAATACAAAATTAAATAAATATAATACAATTCAGTGTTCTTTCTGGACCTTTTCAGAAGTCAAGGAGTTCAGGATTATCTACATCACGACGATGGAGCAGTCCCTCACATTTCAGGAAAAGGACTCATCAATAACGATGGTAAGTTGAAACACAGAATTATTTTGAGATGTAAAACTTAGAAATATCATGTAGGAATACTGGAAGTTCTAATAGGACTTTGAATGTATTAAAATGTGCCCTTTTCAGGGGTGTAAACTATTTTTGAACTAAATAATAAATAAGGGAACTACAGATCTACAAACAGTAGCATTTACTTTTGTTAGATTAAAAGAACTTGGGCCAACATTAAAAATACAAAATTAAATAAATATAATACAATTCAGTGTTCTTTCTGGACCTTTTCAGAAGTCAAGGAGTTCAGGATTATCTACATCACGACGATGGAGCAGTCCCTCACATTTCAGGAAAAGGACTCATCAATAACGATGGTAAGTTGAAACACAGAATTATTTTGAGATGTAAAACTTAGAAATATCATGTAGGAATACTGGAAGTTCTAATAGGACTTTGAATGTATTAAAATGTGCCCTTTTCAGGGGTGTAAACTATTTTTGAACTAAATAATAAATAAGGGAACTACAGATCTACAAACAGTAGCATTTACTTTTGTTAGATTAAAAGAACTTGGGCCAACATTAAAAATACAAAATTAAATAAATATAATACAATTCAGTGTTCTTTCTGGACCTTTTCAGAAGTCAAGGAGTTCAGGATTATCTACATCACGACGATGGAGCAGTCCCTCACATTTCAGGAAAAGGACTCATCAATAACGATGGTAAGTTGAAACACAGAATTATTTTGAGATGTAAAACTTAGAAATATCATGTAGGAATACTGGAAGTTCTAATAGGACTTTGAATGTATTAAAATGTGCCCTTTTCAGGGGTGTAAACTATTTTTGAACTAAATAATAAATAAGGGAACTACAGATCTACAAACAGTAGCATTTACTTTTGTTAGATTAAAAGAACTTGGGCCAACATTAAAAATACAAAATTAAATAAATATAATACAATTCAGTGTTCTTTCTGGACCTTTTCAGAAGTCAAGGAGTTCAGGATTATCTACATCACGACGATGGAGCAGTCCCTCACATTTCAGGAAAAGGACTCATCAATAACGATGGTAAGTTGAAACACAGAATTATTTTGAGATGTAAAACTTAGAAATATCATGTAGGAATACTGGAAGTTCTAATAGGACTTTGAATGTATTAAAATGTGCCCTTTTCAGGGGTGTAAACTATTTTTGAACTAAATAATAAATAAGGGAACTACAGATCTACAAACAGTAGCATTTACTTTTGTTAGATTAAAAGAACTTGGGCCAACATTAAAAATACAAAATTAAATAAATATAATACAATTCAGTGTTCTTTCTGGACCTTTTCAGAAGTCAAGGAGTTCAGGATTATCTACATCACGACGATGGAGCAGTCCCTCACATTTCAGGAAAAGGACTCATCAATAACGATGGTAAGTTGAAACACAGAATTATTTTGAGATGTAAAACTTAGAAATATCATGTAGGAATACTGGAAGTTCTAATAGGACTTTGAATGTATTAAAATGTGCCCTTTTCAGGGGTGTAAACTATTTTTGAACTAAATAATAAATAAGGGAACTACAGATCTACAAACAGTAGCATTTACTTTTGTTAGATTAAAAGAACTTGGGCCAACATTAAAAATACAAAATTAAATAAATATAATACAATTCAGTGTTCTTTCTGGACCGTTTCAGAAGTCAAGGAGTTCAGGATTATCTACATCACGACGATGGAGCAGTCCCTCACATTTCAGGAAAAGGACTCAGCAACAACGATGGTAAGTTAAAACGCAGAATTATTTTGAGATATAGAACTTAAAAATATCATGTAGCAAAAGTGTCAGTTCCATTAGGATTTTGAATATATAAAAACGTGTCCTTTTCAGGGGTGTAATCTATTTTTGAACTAAATCATAAATAAGGGAACTGCAGATCTACAAATAGTAGCAGTTACTTTTGTTAGATTAAAAGAAGTTGGACCTACATTGAAAATACAAATAAATATAATACAATTCAGTGTTTTTTCTGGACCTTTTCAGAAGTCAAGGAGTTCAGGATTATCTATATCACGACGATGGAGCAGTCCCTCACATTTCAGGAAAAGGACTCATCAATCAAACAGTAGCATTTACTTTTGTTAGATTAAAAGAACTTGGGCCAACATTAAAAATACAAAATTAAATAAATATAATACAATTCAATGTTTTTTTTGGACCTTTTCAGAAGTCAAGGAGTTCAGGATTATCTACATCACGACGATGGGGCAGACCCTCACATTTCAGGAAAAGGACTCAGCGACGAAAATGGTAAGTTGAAAGACAGAATTATTTTAAGATGTAGAACTTAGAAATATCCTATAGGAAAACTGAAAGTTCCTTTAAAATTTTGAGTGTATAGAAATATACCCTTTTCAAGAGTGCAAACTATTTTTGAACTAAATTTTAAATTTTAAAGGAAACTACAGATCTACGAAAAGTTGCATCTGGTTTTCGTAATATCAAAAAAAGGAGTACATTACAAATTACAAAATTAATCAAATATAATACAATTCAGTAAACTTTCTGGGCCTTTTTAGAAGTAGAGGAATTCAAAATTCAATGCAAAGTCCTACAAAGTGTTGTTTATTTAGCTAGATTAGGGTAAAGAGTAATTTTTGGAATTATTTTTGTTATACACAGATATTTTATTTTAGAATATTTTTTCTGTACATAAAGCCACGCATGTTTGTGCTTGTAAATGGTTTAAGTAGATTATACATTGAATTTAAACTATTTGTGAGCTAATTGAGGTTTTGCAATATGTGAAGTTTGTTCTTATTATATTACATTTATTAAAATTCAAATCTTTGCTGGCATTCGGAATGTATGGTGGCCGATTTTGTAAATATCTATCATATAATTACTTCTTTAAAAATTTTTTGTTAGACACTGTCAGTCCTGAAACACTTTAATTGTTTTTGTTCTTAATTATTACTTTTTATAACAATTTTTTTTCACTTCTTGCAGAAATTAAAATGCTGTCTTGTTTATTTTCATGAAAAATTCCTCTGTTTATCATTCATAGTATTTTTTTGAACATTTATTAGACATTAAACTTTTATCAGTTATTTATTAATTATTAAATTTTATTTAACACAAATTGTCAAATTAACATACCTATTTACATACCTACATTTCTTTAGTTTCTTAATTAACTTCTCATTAATTTTACATCTGTTTTCGCGTCAGGTGAATTACTAATGGACATTTTCTATTCAATACCTAGCTTGTCATTTGTTTATGAATATTACTTTTTTATTTTTGTATTGGTATTTAAATTTGCAGAAGTTCAACATAACTANAAGTAATCGAAGCTGTAAATGGTTATTTTGAGGAGCTTGACGAATCAGTCTATAGAGATGGCATTAATAGACTGGAACACCGCTATGAGAAATGTATCAGCCTTGGAGGAGATTATGTTGAGAAATAAAAAAAAAAAATTTTTAAAAACCTTGTTTTTCTTGGTCAGGCCGGAAACTTATCAATCCATCCTCGTACTTAAACGACCGAATGCGAGAGCAAGGCATTTTGGTCGTTTTAATATATTAAATAGAAATTAAACGTTTGTTTTCAAAACTAATGGCTTATTTGTATTAAAATTAAACTTATTTAAATTTGTATTACAAAGAGAATCTATTGGACGCGACAGCAAGCCATTTTGGTCGTTTTTATATATTAAATAGAAATTAAACGTTTGTTTTCAAAACTAATGCAATGTATGCTTGAACGGTCGATCGAGAAAACTAGACATTTTTCTGGTTTTAATATAAAGAGCAATTAATAATTTGTTTTGAGAATTAAAGAATTTTTGTATGACTGAAACTTTTTTAAACTTGGATTTTAAAGAAAAGGCGTTAGTAAATTTATTCTCTAATATGTGGNCAGTAGCATTTACTTTTGTTAGATTAAAAGAACTTGGGCCAACATTAAAAATACAAAATTAAATAAATATAATACAATTCAGTGTTCTTTCTGGACCTTTTCAGAAGTCAAGGAGTTCAGGATTATCTACATCACGACGATGGAGCAGTCCCTCACATTTCAGGAAAAGGACTCATCAATAACGATGGTAAGTTGAAACACAGAATTATTTTGAGATGTAAAACTTAGAAATATCATGTAGGAATACTGGAAGTTCTAATAGGACTTTGAATGTATTAAAATGTGCCCTTTTCAGGGGTGTAAACTATTTTTGAACTAAATAATAAATAAGGGAACTACAGATCTACAAACAGTAGCATTTACTTTTGTTAGATTAAAAGAACTTGGGCCAACATTAAAAATACAAAATTAAATAAATATAATACAATTCAGTGTTCTTTCTGGACCTTTTCAGAAGTCAAGGAGTTCAGGATTATCTACATCACGACGATGGAGCAGTCCCTCACATTTCAGGAAAAGGACTCATCAATAACGATGGTAAGTTGAAACACAGAATTATTTTGAGATGTAAAACTTAGAAATATCATGTAGGAATACTGGAAGTTCTAATAGGACTTTGAATGTATTAAAATGTGCCCTTTTCAGGGGTGTAAACTATTTTTGAACTAAATAATAAATAAGGGAACTACAGATCTACAAACAGTAGCATTTACTTTTGTTAGATTAAAAGAACTTGGGCCAACATTAAAAATACAAAATTAAATAAATATAATACAATTCAGTGTTCTTTCTGGACCTTTTCAGAAGTCAAGGAGTTCAGGATTATCTACATCACGACGATGGAGCAGTCCCTCACATTTCAGGAAAAGGACTCATCAATAACGATGGTAAGTTGAAACACAGAATTATTTTGAGATGTAAAACTTAGAAATATCATGTAGGAATACTGGAAGTTCTAATAGGACTTTGAATGTATTAAAATGTGCCCTTTTCAGGGGTGTAAACTATTTTTGAACTAAATAATAAATAAGGGAACTACAGATCTACAAACAGTAGCATTTACTTTTGTTAGATTAAAAGAACTTGGGCCAACATTAAAAATACAAAATTAAATAAATATAATACAATTCAGTGTTCTTTCTGGACCTTTTCAGAAGTCAAGGAGTTCAGGATTATCTACATCACGACGATGGAGCAGTCCCTCACATTTCAGGAAAAGGACTCATCAATAACGATGGTAAGTTGAAACACAGAATTATTTTGAGATGTAAAACTTAGAAATATCATGTAGGAATACTGGAAGTTCTAATAGGACTTTGAATGTATTAAAATGTGCCCTTTTCAGGGGTGTAAACTATTTTTGAACTAAATAATAAATAAGGGAACTACAGATCTACAAACAGTAGCATTTACTTTTGTTAGATTAAAAGAACTTGGGCCAACATTAAAAATACAAAATTAAATAAATATAATACAATTCAGTGTTTTTTTTGGACCTTTTCAGAAGTCAAGGAGTTCAGGATTATCTACATCACGACGATGGAGCAGACCCTCACATTTCAGGAAAAGGACTCAGCGACGAAAATGGTAAGTTGAAAGACAGAATTATTTTAAGATGTAGAACTTAGAAATATCCTATAGGAAAACTGAAAGTTCCTTTAAAATTTTGAGTGTATAGAAATATACCCTTTTCAAGAGTGCAAACTATTTTTGAACTAAATTTTAAATTTTAAAGGAAACTACAGATCTACGAAAAGTTGCATCTGGTTTTCGTAATATCAAAAAAAGGAGTACATTACAAATTACAAAATTAATCAAATATAATACAATTCAGTAAACTTTCTGGGCCTTTTTAGAAGTAGAGGAATTCAAAATTCAATGCAAAGTCCTACAAAGTGTTGTTTATTTAGCTAGATTAGGGTAAAGAGTAATTTTTGGAATTATTTTTGTTATACACAGATATTTTATTTTAGAATATTTTTTCTGTACATAAAGCCACGCATGTTTGTGCTTGTAAATGGTTTAAATATCATGTAGGAATACTGAAAGTTCTAATAGGACTTTGAATGTATTAAAATGTGCCCTTTTCAGGGGTGTAAACTATTTTTGAACTAAATAATAATTAATAATAATAATTAATACTGTTTAGGACTATTAAAGTATTCTGAGAATGAATGATACACAATTACGATCGAATAAAGTCCATCACTTAGTCTTAATGACAAAAGGATCATTTCTCTATTTAAAAAATATTAAAAATTGACCACAACCACCCCGATAATCGAGAGCTTTTAAACAATGAAACTGCTTTCAACTGTAATTTGTTAATTTCCCAAATCAGCCCCTACGAACAATTAAATACAGACATTAACACATTATCCTTGTAATACAAGGTAAAAAAGGGTTATTTCATACAAAAATGCCTTAGTATTCAAGACAAATTTTTAATTACTAAACGCAACTAGGTTTTCTAATCTAATCGACAAATGCAGCCTTGTTAAAAAAGATATTAAAAGTAGACCACAATCACCACGATGATAGTATAGCTTAAAAGCAATGAAAGAGCTTTCAGCCTTATTTATGTCGTTATTTTTTGAAATTAGATCCTACATATTACAGAATAGAAACAAACACATTCTCCTTGTNCTTAGAAATATCATGTAGGAATACTGGAAGTTCTAATAGGACTTTGAATGTATTAAAATGTGCCCTTTTCAGGGGTGTAAACTATTTTTGAACTAAATAATAAATAAGGGAACTACAGATCTACAAACAGTAGCATTTACTTTTGTTAGATTAAAAGAACTTGGGCCAACATTAAAAATACAAAATTAAATAAATATAATACAATTCAGTGTTCTTTCTGGACCTTTTCAGAAGTCAAGGAGTTCAGGATTATCTACATCACGACGATGGAGCAGTCCCTCACATTTCAGGAAAAGGACTCATCAATAACGATGGTAAGTTGAAACACAGAATTATTTTGAGATGTAAAACTTAGAAATATCATGTAGGAATACTGGAAGTTCTAATAGGACTTTGAATGTATTAAAATGTGCCCTTTTCAGGGGTGTAAACTATTTTTGAACTAAATAATAAATAAGGGAACTACAGATCTACAAACAGTAGCATTTACTTTTGTTAGATTAAAAGAACTTGGGCCAACATTAAAAATACAAAATTAAATAAATATA